ATAATACCCCGATATATTTTCTTAGCAAAAGTTCTTCTTGCGATCCTTGCAAAAAAATTCCTCGACAAAAATATTCAAGATTTCAATCGGAAAAATTTAATAACAGATAGAGAATAGATAAAGCAATATTTAAACAAGAGAAAAGGGGTGGAAGAGAATAAGAGAATATGGGAAAATGTTTATTAAAATGTATAAAGATTTGAAGATTCGAATAAACGTTAATTAGAATTATTTCGAATATTATAACTTTGAATCGAACATAATATAGGTAATTTAATTAGAACTATTATTAATATAATTAATAATCGAACCAAGACTGGTATATGCCATTTAAATTTGTTTTTCTTAACAGTATGGTATAGTAATTGAAAAATAAAATCAGAGATAGATAATTATTAATGGGGGTTAGTTAAAGGAACAATTGTTTTGTTTAAATTAATTCAGAAAAATTAAGTAAAGAAGAAAAAGATTTGTAAGATTTTGGAATAATCATTTTTAAGGGGATATATCTTGAAGATTTTCATCACGCAGTGGTACGTATGTACATATATACAAGGTGTCGTATTTAAACGAGATCGATGCAATTAAGAAACGATGAAAAACATTAAACAAATAAAAAAATCTTTCCAAAAGTTGTGTGATATAAGAAGGAAGTTCATTACAGGGTTAAAAAAATGCAAAATTTGTCCTTTATCCGGAATATTCGAAGAAATTTCAATGCCTTGTATATACAGGATTTTCGTTTCACTGAAATATAAATAAAAATATAAAAAAAAAGAAAAAAGTTCACTTCACCTTGAAATCTCCGAATCAATTCGCAAACATAATTAATGGGCTACCGCGTAATGTTCCTCCCTTTTTTAATCTTTTTTTAAATATTATTTTGATTGGAAACATCTTACAACTTTTGTACGAACCTTTCGTTGTTTTTAATTTTACGTCTCGTCAAAAACAACGTTCTCGTTAATTATCGTACACCCCGTATATATAAATCTTCATGCGTTGAAAAAATCTTCTTCACGATTTACCTGTCAAAAAACCCATCATTCGTTCTTGTTGTCAATAAACGAATATTCTCGTTAATTATAATATTCATAATATTATATTCATATAAAATTAACAAAAGAGAAAATAAAACAATATTAATGAAAACACAGTATTTGTTGTTGTCACATTTGAAAATAATTACTGCTCTTTCGTCAATTATACGAGTTTCACACTCTATTAACAAACAGGTTCTAAAACTTGCGACAAGTTTTGTTTTTTTATTTAATTCGAAATAACAACAACAACAACACCACTAATAATAATAATAATAATAAATTATAATAAAGTATCGTTAATGTTTCTCACTCGATCAAAGTTTTTCGAAAGAAAAGAAAATATACTTTATATTCCACTGTGTCACTAATATTTTATTTAATTGTTTTTTTTTTTGTTGTTGCATGCCGGGGAAACAAAAAAATATTCTTCAATACGATGATCAACACCATAATCTTATCTTTTGTCTTCGTTCATTGTTAATGGTGATTAACTGATTGGTTGGTTGGTTGGTTGGTTGAACAGAAACAGACGATAAATATGAATATCTTCGAATTGTTAACATATTTTTTTCGGAGGACGAACGATCAATTTTTTTTCCAAACTTTCAGATCTTCCAATTGTTATTTTTAATCTTTTAGAGAGATGAAATATTTTTTTGTTCTTCTTTTTATTTTTTTTCTTCTTCTTCTTCTTCTTCTTTTTCTTCTTTTTCTTCTTCTGGTAAGATGAATTTTGATATATCCCAGCAAATAAAAGTCACATATAAAATCTTTCATCGAGATGTTTTTTATCTTCTTCATTTCGAGAATATTTATCTTCGGACGAGGATTTATCTATTTAATTCCTGTTGAAAAAAAAAACTGAAAATTATAACATGGACAAATAGAAAATGATATCTAATTATATTTTGTCAAAATAACATATTCGTTTAATTTCTAATATAATGTGAATCGAATAAATCGATAAATAAATAAATAAATAAAAATGTACTTCTCTTTATCATTATTATTATATTTATTTGAAATATTTACAACTAACTTCATCATCTCGGATCAAATTAAACAAATGTGTTAACGTAAATATCAATGCGTGAATGTGAACAACGTTCAACAATATTTCATATCAATCACAATGTAGCAAATTGGAAACACCTTTATTCGCTAATTTCAAATATCATGATTAATAAATAAATGAAAAATATGATAGAATCCAACCAGCGGTACCCCCCTCGTTCGAATCTATCAAAAGAAAAAAGAAAAATCGATTTTCCTCGGTTAAAATTTGGATATTCTTTAACATCGGAAAATGCATTGCAAACAAAAATTTTTATTTCTATAGAAAATCGTAAAACAAAAGAAAATTAAATCCCAAATCCACGAATTGTTTTGATGAACAACCGCGGTTTGCACGGAATAAAAAACCAAATAATAATCAATCCTTTCGAGATACGGAAAAGTGAATTGAAAGGGAAAAATATTTGAACGTAGTGAAAAAAAAAAAAAAGAAAAAATAAAAACGAGGGGGGAGGAGGTTGCAGCAGCAGTATCATCATCATCGGGGATTTGTTTTAAATCATATCGTATTTATGAATGGTAGATAGGTGACGTCGCAGGCTTGACTTTTGTGTGAAATTGTTGTTGCAGTAGAAACAAGGAAATTGTCGTTTTCCACCGCATTCCCACTTCATATGACGGCGAAGATTGCAAAGCAACGTGTAACTTCTCCCACATCGTTGGCAGATGAAACGTGAGGTTAACATACCACCTGTTCAACAAAGAAAACAAAACAAATGTCTTAATGTTAAAGTTTAATCCAATTGAATTAACCATTTTTTATACATACACGCGCCGTGTTGTGTGTGGATAGTGATAATTACAACATTTTTAATTGAATAATTCGTAATTTGTTTGTTTGTTTGTTTTATCCTTTCCTTTTGCTTTTGCTTTTCTTTTCTTTTCTTTTTTTTTCTTAACTTTTTTTCGCGTTTCACATTATTTCAAATTAATAAAGAAAATTGAATCATCGATCCACCCTTCTTTTGCCCGATCAAAAAAGCAAGTGCATAATTAAGCGTGTGTAAGTACAATGTATATATGTATATATATATATATATATATATAAATATATATTTGGTTTGTTTGTTTTTTTATATTCGTTTGTTGTTTTCGTCGTCGTTGGCATCGATGTTGATTGGATGGATTTCTTTTTTTATTCTTTATCTTTCTTATTTTTTTTTTTTCTTTTATTTTCTTTCGTTGATAAAATCATTTTATATAGCAAAGATTTTTGGACAGAGATGCGTGAAAATTATTTGAAGAATGAATTGGAATAAATGATGAGAGTATTGAAAAACAAAAAAAAAAAAATAAATAAAATGAAAAAAAAGTCGTCGAAAGTAGTAAACAAATAGATAATATTCCACGTTGCTTTGATGATTGGTATTTTTTGTTTTTTTTTGTTTTTTATTCTCCACTTGGCATTTTATTCGACGAGTGGATATTTAAAAAAAACGAGATAGATAGATAGAGAGAGAGAGAGAGAGAGAGAGAGACAGAAAAAAAGTGAAACATTTAAATAAAGCAAAAAATTGGTAGACAAGGTTATACCACAATTTTCAATGCGTTTTTTTGTTTTTTTTTTCTTCATGACTTTCTTTTTCTTCGAGTCTAAAGGATCGAGTCGATCTTCCAGGTTGATACCAAAATTTTCGTAGCTGTTTCTTGCGTTAACGTGTGCATATCTATCTGCAAATCAATTTAAAAAAACACGTAACGTTTAATTAATAATCATCGTTATTTTATTTCCAACGAATTTTACCTCTTTTCTTTTCTTTTTTTCTTATCCCTGGAAGTATTTTACGATCTTCTCGCGCGTGAAAGTTGGCATACGTTGAGGAAGAATGATCTACAAATGAAAATAATAATCATAATAATAATAATATTATTATTAATAAGTCATTATATAATATAGAAAAATAAATATATCAACGATAGTATAATATTATCAAAAAGATTTAAATTTATTATTAAATCTATCACAAAAATTGTTGGG